ACTGATGCACCTGTTCACCTAACAGTTAGACAGCTGCTATGGGCTGCATGCTGGGGATGTGTGTGTAAGAGAATGGCTCCTTCTTTCTTTATCACAGTTATCTGTCTTAGAGTACTGTAACGATACATGACAACGATACAAGCAAATCTATATTCACTCGATAGCTATTTCTCGCGTAACGGATGCATTGCTGGTCCTGCCACACCAAGAGCCATTCTCCCAATCTTCCTGCACCAGCTGCTGCTGCTCCGTCAGTTACTCTTGCCTGCACGCATTGCGCTAAGATAAAACGCCTCAGACTGCATAAACCCTCTACAAATTTCCCCGATTCGGGAAATGTTGTTGCCCGGCCTCAAAAGCTTCACTAGAATGAGCCTGCGGCTGAGAATATCCACCGAAAGAGCTGATCTTATGGGCAGTAGCTGTCACGATACGAAGTCGCTTACCGCAAATTCTCCTTCCTCACCCTCCCCCCCTCCTTCCTTACCCTCCCCAGCCATCTCAACCGTTCTTGCTCGATGTGCCGGGACGCGACGCCTCGCCTCCTTACACACCCGAGTTGCTCCAACAAACTCGAGTAATGGCAGCACTTCAGGGCCTGGCTGCCGCGTCGCACACATCCAGTAGCGTATTTGCCTGTTCGATGGAGCAGGGCGGAGCAGGGCTGGCCGTCCCGAGGACCCGTGTCAGGGGCCCATGGCTTTGGAGGAGGGCCCTATCCACCCCCCCTCGATCCGCGGGTGTGGATAGATTCACACCGACACTTTGGAAATTTTAGTGTGGCGTTCCCACAGTCTCGAGGCCTGGCACTCACCACCAGTGGCACTCACTGTGGTGTTATCCTCTCTTTAATTGTCAGTCTTTTGACGAAGTATATTGAAAGCAAGATGACGAGTCTGATTTAATAAAGCATTAACCATTAAAGCATTTAATAAAGCATTAACCATTAAAGCAGTGTTCTCAGTGTTCACCCACTTAACACTTCCGATCATCCTTCCCACCCCCTGTTCCCTCCCTCTGTTCCCTCTGTTCCGTTCCTCTGTTCACACCTCCGTCCCTGTGTCTCCTTCAGCTGTGTGAGTTATATTAAATCATTCCCAAATCATCTTAGAATGTATCCAGATCATCTTACCACTGTTCATTATCTCTCCCGTCTCTACCTCGACAAATACTTGCAATTCTCATAGGAACATCAAATACATTTCAAGTAACATATATCTTATTATTCCTATTATTAGTCTGGACAAGGTGAGGTTTTACGTCGCATCTCATATTAAGGGTAAATGCGTCCTAAATATTTAATTCTATAGTATGGTACGTTCATGAGTAATTAATCGCCCCCATGCATACATATTACACTTAATTCACGGAATCTTTGAGCCCTGGAATATTTATATCCGTGTCAGATTAATGAATGAATTATTCATGTGTTGATAATTGTCACGAATGTAAAAAAGGTTTACGTCTAACTAGTAGATCATCAAAGCACAATGTACACATAAATATTGCTCTAATATTTCGCTTAAATAATTTGGTAGGCTTCATGAAAATTGGACACGGACACACACACACACACACACACACACACACACACACACACACACACACAGATTGACAGAGTGGACATAGACGAAATGTTCACACGGAATAGTAACAGAACGAGGGGACATGGATGGAAGCTTGAAACTCAGATGAGTCACAGAGATGTTAGGAAGTTTTCTTTTAGCGTGAGAGTAGTGGGGAAATGGAATGCACTTCAGGAACAGGTTGTGGAAGCAAATACTATTCATAATTTTAAAACCAGGTATGATAGGGAAATGGGACAGGAGTCATTGCTGTAAACAACCGATGCTCGAAAGGCGGGATCCAAGAGTCAATGCTCGATCCTGCAGACACAACTAGGTGAGTACAACTAGGTGAGTACACACACACACACACATCGTGTGTGACATCTGTGGCGTATGCGAGGCTGGCTAACACCAGAACTGCTATCAGGAACCTGTGTGTAAGGAATCCTTGAGAACCTTGTATACCACGTATGTAAGGCCAGTCCTGCCGTATGAGGTCCAGTATGGAGCCTAAAAAAAGTTTTTTTTTCATACCTCAAAAATGTTTAGAGATATGTCGCATACTCCAGGATTGGTCTTACGAGTGTGTGTGTGTGTGTGTGTGTGTGTGTGTGTGTGTGTGTGTGTGTGTGTGTGTGTGTGTGGACTCACTTAGTTGTACTCTCCTAGTTGTGCTTGCGAGGGTTGAACTTTTGGCTCTTTGGTCCCGCCTCTCAACTGTCAATCTACTGGTGTACAGATTCTCTAGCTTTTTGAGCTCTATCATATCTGCATTTGAAACTGTGTATGGAGTCAGCCTCCACCACATCACTGCCTAATGCATTCCATTTACTAAATACTCTGACAGTGAAAAAGTTCTTTCTAATGTCTCTGTGGCACATTTTGGTACTCAGCTTCAGCCTGTGTCCCCTTGAGCGTGTACCACTCGTGTTAAATAATCCATCCTTGTGCACCCTGTCAATTCCCCGTAGATTTTTGTATGTGGTGATCATGTCTCTCCGAGCTCTTGTGTTCCTGCAACGTGAGGTGCAGGTCACGCAGCCTTTCCTCGTAACTCCTGCTTCTAAGTTCTGGTATGCCTGAGGTATGCTTAGTGGCATACCACAGAACTTTTTCCAGCTTCGTCTTGTGCTTGACAAGGTACGGGCTCCATGCTGGGCCGCATACTTCAGGATTGGCCTTACATATGTGATATGTCAGGTCCTGAAGAATTCCTTACACAGGTTTCTGAAGGGAGGTCTGATGTTAGCCAGTCTCGCATACGCCGCCGATGTTATTCTTTTGATGTGGGCTTCAGGAGACAAGTTTGGTGTGATATCAACTCCTAGATCTTTCTGTCCGTTTCGTGAAGGACTTCATCTCCCATTCGGTATCCAGGGTCTAGCCTACTATTTCCTCTGCCTAACTTCATCACCTTACATTTACTTGGGTTAAACTTTACTAGCCATTTGTTGGACCATTCCTTCAGTTTGCCTAGGGCATCTTGTAGCCTCATACTATCTTCTTTTGTCTTAATCCTCTTCATAGTTTTTGCATCATCGGCAAACATAGAGATGAACGAGTCTAGTCTCTCTGGGAGATCATTTACATATATCAGAAACAGTTTAGGTCCAAGGACTGTGTGTGTGTGTGTTTTTCCACACATCAAAGAGCCTTTTGTTGAAGAATCGTGGAAAGGAATTTATCTCATGGATTGTGGCGTCCACCACCTGAGACACAAGGTAAAGAACACCCATCTCGAGGCGCACTTGGCTCTCGGCTGAGACAAACACAAGACGCTCTTTGGCAGAGAGGAGCATCTTGGAGGCAGAGAAGAGGATCTGAGAGGTACAGTGGAAGATCTGAGAGACGGAGAACAGGATCTTGGAGGCATAGAGAGGCAGAAAGGAACATCCTGGAGGTAAAGAAAAGGATCAGAGAGGCAGAGAGGAGCATCTTGGAGGCAGAGAAAAGGATCTGAGAGGCAGAGAAGAGGATCTTGGAGGGAGAGATGAGGATCTTGAAGAATAATCTGAGAGGCAAAGAATAGGATCTTGTAGGCAGAGAGGAGAATCTTCGAGGCAGAGAAGAGGATCTAAGAGGTACAGTGGAAGATCTGAGAGACGGAGAACAGGATCTTGGAGGCATAGAGGACGGTCTGAGAGGCAGAAAGGAACATCCTGGAGGTAAAGAAAAGGATCAGAGAGGCAGAGAAGAGGATCTTGGAGGCAGAGGCTCTGGACCTCTGTTGTTGACCATATCTGTACTATAAGCGAGAATGTCTGTCTTCTCTGTCTGTCCATGGTTGGAGGCCAGACGATTGGGGCTGACCTCATCCAACTTTGCCGGGGAAATTGACTAGGGCGGACGTAGGCTGGTTAAGGTCGGCTTAAGTTAAACGCTTTACAAATATTAACAATTATAGTGACCCCCCCCCCTCACCCCCTATACGCGTTTCGTGGAGTCATGTGTCAAATATTTGGTGTGAATCCCTTAGAGATTTTAGTGATCATAATATATTTTCTGATAGACCAAAACAGTAGTTTCAGTAATAATAAATTTTCTGAGAGAAGAGGGAGATGGGGAAGGGGGATACCAAGGGGAAAAGGGTTGAAGAGGGAGTAAAAAGACCCGGGTGGAGCCGGGTTACCCCTTCTATAGAGCTAAATGGAAATGTGTCTGTCTGTTTGAGGTTCGAAGGAGAGGTTATGAATTTTTATGACCTGGTGATTCCCAGACGTCTGCCTTAACCTACTCGACCACGATGTTACAAAGTTGACCAACCCAGAACTCTACAGAGTTCTCTGGGGAGGTTCTGGAGGCCACGGTTCCCAAACAGGATTTTACCATCAACCCGACTACACTCAGACCTCCAATACTGGCGGTCACATTGTACCACTGTGGCAGAGTCAGTTAAGGCAGGCGTCTGGGAACCACCAGGTCGCGGGTTCAAGTCACTCCGTACCACAAAATGATTTTTATTGACACATCACGTCATTGTGATTTTATATATACAGTATTATATATAATAATATGGTCGATAACCATTTCCGTAATGGTCCTTACCCTTCCATATCGATATTCCATCTTTACTTCCCTCCCATCCATACTGGGGGCCCCCATCCATACTGGGGGCCCCCATCCATACTGGGGCCCCCCATCCATACTGGGGCCCCCCATCCATACTGGGGCTCCCCCATCCATACTGGGGCCCCCCATCCATACTGGGGCCCCCCCCATCCATACTGGGCCCTTCATCAAATTTGTCTAATGTCATCTTGACTTCCTTACCTCTTTAGTTTGACTCTTGCTGCATACATATTATTCATTTTCTTCTCAGCATTGCTCAAGTGGTCCACTTTCCATACTGTCTTTCCGTTGAGGTTTAAGAAGACTTCTCTCATCATATTTCCTGTGTTTGTGGTCACTAACTGTTCACTCTCTCCTCCGCAGGGATCTTCGGCCTCCCACGCCTTGAAGACCCTCATTAGTGTGTCGACGGTCATCCTCCTCGGACTCATATGTGCCTATCACGCCCTCGAGGTTCAGGTGAGTACAGCAGGTGAAGCAGGAGACTTGTGGACCCAAGCATCCCCTCCAAGGCTTGGAGGGATGCATGCGTCCACGATATCAGGTGAGTACAGCAGGTGAAGCAGGAGACTTGTGGACCCAAGCATCCCCTCCAAGGCTTGGAGGGATGCATGCGTCCACGATATCTATCCAAGGTGCCCAAGCAACCCTCCAAGGCTTGGAGGGATGCATGCGTCCACGATATCTATCCAAGGTGCCCAAGCATCCCCTCCAAGGCTTGGAGGGATGCATGCGTCCACGATATCTATCCAAGGTGCCCAAGCAACCCTCCAAGCACCAAGGAGTGCAGAAGATGCACTCCTTGACCTGCCGAAAGTGAGGTCAACAGGCCCGGACAAACACCCGTATTGAGAGGGTGAAAGTTTGTCACACTATTGCCGGAACAACCGTGGACATTTTCAAGAGGAAACTAGATTTATTCCTCCAAGGAGTGCCGGACCAACCGGGCTGTGGTGGGTATGTGGGCCTGCGGGCCGCTCCAAGCAACAGCCTGGTGGACCAAACTCTCACAAGTCGAGCCTGGCCTCGGGCCGGGCTTGGGCAGTAGAAGAACTCCCAGAACCCCATCAACCAGGTATATGTGGGCCTGCGGGCCGCTCCAAGCAACAGCCTGGTGGACCAAACTCTCACAAGTCGAGCCTGGCCTCGGGCCGGGCTTGGGGAATAGTAGAACTCCCAGAACCCCATCAACCAGGTATCAACCAGGTAACTGGTGCAGTAGACAGATCGAGTGTGTGTACAAGAGGAGGTAGATGTCGTAGTGAGGTAAAACAGTAGAAGTAGTAATAGTAATTGTTATCTCTGTAACATTCCATGGGAATGTTTACGAAGGAAGGATAAATGACTAAGGCGTAGACTGAAAGTGAAGTCGTAGGGAAAAGGTGAAGAATGGGTGAACTATTCATTTTCATTTTAACCACATCTAATTCTACTTACCCGATAAACCCGGCCTTCCTCCAATCCTTTTGTCATTAAACCGTTAAAACCACTTGACCAGCTGATGGTACAATCCTCCGGCGAGGCTCAGCCTCATCTGCTCTTTGATTGTCTCGTCTAACTTTACATGCAAATGTCCTCCGTCATTTCTGGAGAACGTGACGTGTCTTTCATCAAGTAATCCAAACACAACTTTGTTTTCAAATATAAAATGATGAATTCGAATTAGTAAATAAATCTAATGTATTAATATTTACATGTTTTAATGGAAAAACGCATTAAATTTTTCCAGGGAGCTGCTAGAGACCTCAAATAGAGAACAACTGGTGTTTCTCATTGCTAAAAATATATCCCTATTTGGAACAAAAAAGTTCCAAGTAGCACGGTCTGTGGTGAGCCCATAGTGGACTAAAGTAGTCAAGCATTGACACCCACCAAGCCAAAATTTCCAGTTGAAAGCGAGAAAAAACCCAGAGACCTGGGATATTATTTGATAATAAATTCCATAAATTAAATCTGGTAAGATAAACAAAAAAAATCGTCGTGTGATATGATGCGCCGTGATGCACACCTGTGAAAAGAATGTGATGCAGAAGCAATTTGAATCATGAAATTAATAAAATGATTCTTGTAATATCTCAAAGGCTAAACATTTATTTTTTGTGAAACACGCACGGAACATGACCAAAACGGAACGGAACATCCGCCCCAAAAGTAACGATTGCCGTTTCTGAGGGAAATGTGGAAATATAGTGAATAGCGCCAACAAAGCGTGTGGGTACTTGTCTTACTTGTGTGGGTACTTGACTTACTTGTGTGGGTACTTGTCTTACTTGTGTGGGTACTTGACTTACTTGTGTGGGTACTTGTCTTACTTGTGTGGGTACTTGTCTTACTTGTGTGGGTACTTGTCTTACTTGTGTGGGTACTTGTCTTACTTGTGTGGGTACTTGTCTTACTTGTGTGGGTACTTGTCTTACTTGTGTGGGTACTTGTCTTACTTGTGTGGGTACTTGTCTTACTTGTGTGGGTACTTGACTTAGTTGTGTGGGTACTTGTCTTACTTGTGTGGGTACTTGTCTTACTTGTGAGGGTACTTGTCTTACTTGTGTGGGTACTTGTCTTACTTGTGTGGGTACTTGACTTACTTGTGTGGGTACTTGTCTTACTTGTGTGGGTACTTGTCTTACTTGTGTGGGTACTTGTCTTACTTGTGTGGGTACTTGTCTTACTTGTGTGGGTACTTGTCTTACTTGTGTGGGTACTTGTCTTACTTGTGTGGGTACTTGTCTTACTTGTGTGGGTACTTGTCTTACTTGTGTGGGTACTTGTCTTACTTGTGTGGGTACTTGTCTTACTTGTGTGGGTACTTGTCTTACTTGTGTGGGTACTTGTCTTACTTGTGTGGGTACTTGTCTTACTTGTGTGGGTACTTGACTTACTTGTGTGGGTACTTGTCTTACTTGTGTGGGTACTTGTCTTACTTGTGAGGGTACTTGTCTTACTTGTGTGGGTACTTGTCTTACTTGTGTGGGTACTTGTCTTACTTGTGTGGGTACTTGTCTTACTTGTGTGGGTACTTGTCTTACTTGTGTGGGTACTTGTCTTACTTGTGTGGGTACTTGACTTACTTGTGTGGGTACTTGACTTACTTGTGTGGGTACTTGTCTTACTTGTGTGGGTACTTGACTTACTTGTGTGGGTACTTGTCTTACTTGTGTGGGTACTTGACTTACTTGTGTGGGTACTTGTCTTACTTGTGTGGGTACTTGACTTACTTGTGTGGGTACTTGTCTTACTTGTGTGGGTACTTGACTTACTTGTGTGGGTACTTGTCTTACTTGTGTGGGTACTTGTGTGGGTACTTGTCTTACTTGTGTGGGTACTTGTCTTACTTGTGTGGGTACTTGACTTACTTGTGTGGGTACTTGACTTACTTGTGTGGGTACTTGTCTTACTTGTGTGGGTAAGAAGCGAGTCGGAGACTGAGTGATTGCAGTTACTACATTAATTCAACCAAAAATTAAAGTTATCAGCTGATGAAAGATTCACCTTATCTACTGCAATGGTTATTTGTTTAAAACCTTCTTATTTGTGTATACATAGTTCAGTTAACTTATCTGTGGGAAGCGATAACGCCTGGGCATATAAGGCCTAGTCATAAAACATTATACTTTATATCCAGTGGTCGCCTAATTTCTATGCATATTGGACGGCGACGGTCCAGATTCACTCATAATTTGCATATTGCCGCTGCAACTGTGCAGGCCTCGGAAGCTCCAGTCCGCGGCGACCAGCTCCCCCGTCACACTCGCGGCGACCAGCTCCCCCGTCACACTCGCGGCCTCGGTAGCTCCAGTCCTCGGCGACCAGCTCCCTCGTCACACTCGCGGCGACCAGCTCCCCCGTCACACTCGCGGCGACCAGCTCCCCCGTCACACTCGCGGCGACCAGCTCCCCCGTCACACTCGCGGCGACCAGCTCCCCCGTCACACTCGCGGCCTCGGAAGCTCCAGTCCGCGGCGACCAGCTCCCCCGTCACACTCGCGGCCTCGGTAGCTCCAGTCCGCGGCGACCAGCTCCCCGTCACACTCGCGGCGACCAGCTCCCCCGTCACACTCGCGGCCTCGGTAGCTCCAGTCCACGGCGACCAGCTCCCCCGTCACACTCGCGGCGACCAGCTCCCCCGTCACACTCGCGGCGACCAGCTCCCCCGTCACACCCGCGGCCTCGGTAGCTCCAGTCCGCGGCGACCAGCTCCCCCGTCACACTCGCGGCCTCGGAAGCTCCAGTCCGCGGCGACCAGCTCCCCGTCACACTCGCGGCGACCAGCTCCCCCGTCACACCCGCGGCCTCGGTAGCTCCAGTCCGCGGCGACCAGCTCCCCCGTCACACTCGCGGCCTCGGAAGCTCCAGTCCGCGGCGACCAGCTCCCCCGTCACACTCGCGGCGACCAGCTCCCCCGTCACACCCGCGGCCTCGGTAGCTCCAGTCCGCGGCGACCAGCTCCCCCGTCACACTCGCGGCCTCGGAAGCTCCAGTCCGCGGCGACCAGCTCCCCCGTCACACTCGCGGCCTCGGAAGCTCCAGTCCGCGGCGACCAGCTCCCCCGTCACACTCGCGGCCTCGGAAGCTCCAGTCCGCGGCGACCAGCTCCCCCGTCACACTCGCGGCCTCGGAAGCTCCAGTCCGCGGCGACCAGCTCCCCGCCACACTCGCGGCCGGGCGCCACAACCGCCGCCACAGAAATTAAACAAATATTTCAAATCGAAAAGAAGAAAAGGAATAAATTATTGGAATATTGCTCACGTTTGATTATAGGGAAGAAAATTTAGAGGTAAAGCGAAGAATCAAGATGATCCTGATGGGTTATGTGAACATGATGGGTTATGTGAACATGATGAACATGATGGGTTATGTGAACATGATGAACATGATGGGTTATGTGAACATGATGGGTTATGTGAACATGATGAACATGATGGGTTATGTGAACATGATGAACATGATGGGTTATGTGAACATGATGATCCTGATGGGTTATGTGAACATGATGAACATGATGGGTTATGTGAACATGATGGGTTATGTGAACATGATGAACATGATGGGTTATGTGAACATGATGAACATGATGGGTTATGTGAACATGATGAACATGATGGGTTATGTGAACATGATGGGGTTATGTGAACATGATGAACATGATGAACATGATGGGTTATGTGAATATGATGGGTTATGTGAACATGATGAACATGATGGGTTATGTGAACATGATGAACATGATGGGTTATGTGAACATGATGATCCTGATGGGTTATGTGAACATGATGAACATGATGGGTTATGTGAACATGATGAACATGATGGGTTATGTGAACATGATGGGTTATGTGAACATGATGGGTTATGTGAACATGATGGGTTATGTGAACATGATGAACATGATGGGTTATGTGAACATGATGATCCTGATGGGTTATGTGAACATGATGAACATGATGGGTTATGTGAACATG